ATAAGAATATAGTCCACTTTATGAACGCCTATTGGCGACTACCGTGTTTATCTCTTCGCCACCTGGTGAATAAACAATAAAGCCAAACAGGTCCCCAAGAACGGTGCTCGGCTCCGAGCCTAAGGAGCTCGGCTCCGAGCCTAAGGAGCTGGCTCCGAGCCTAAGGAGGTGGCTCCGAGCCTAAAAAGCTGGCTCCGATCCTAAGGAGCTGGCTTCGAGCCTAAGGAGCTCGGCTCCGAGCCTAAAGAGCTGGCTCCGAGTCTAAGGAGCTGGCTTCGAGCCTAAGGAGCTCGGCTCCGAGCCTAAGGAGCTGGCTTCGAGCCTAAGGAGCTGGATCATGGATTGAAACATTGAATCATAAGATTGAATCATTGAATCATGGATTGATTCATTGAATCATAAGATTGAATCATTGAATCATAAGATTGAATCATTGAATCTTAAGATTGAATCATTGAATCATGGATTGAATCATTGAATCATAAGATTGAATCATTGTTTCATAAGATTGAATCATTGAATCATAAGATTGAATCATTGAATCGTAGATTGAGTGAAACTTCACAGAAGCTTTACAGAAGCTTTACAGAAGCTTCACAGAAGCTTCACAGAAGCTTTACAGAAGCTTCACCTGAGCCTAAAGAGCTGGCTCCGAGCCTAAGGAGCTGGCTCCGAGCCTAAGAAGCTGGCTCCGAGCCTAAGGAGCTGAATCATAAGATTGAATCATTGAATCTTAAGATTGAATCATTGAATCATGGATTGATTCATTGAATCATAAGATTGAATCATTGAATCATAAGATTGAATCATTGAATCTTAAGATTGAATCATTGAATCATGGATTGAATCATTGAATCATAAGATTGAATCATTGTTTCATAAGATTGAATCACTGAATCATAAGATTGAATCATTGAATCGTAGATTGAGTGAAACTTCACAGAAGCTTTACAGAAGCTTTACAGAAGCTTCACAGAAGCTTCACAGAAGCTTTACAGAAGCTTCACAGAAGCTTCACAGAAGCTTTACAGAAGCTTCACCTGAGCCTAAGGAACTTGTTTCCGAGCTTAAGGAGCTGGCTCCGAGCCTAAGGAGCTCGGCTCCGAGCCTAAGGAGCTGTTTCCGAGCCTAAAGAGCTTGGCCCCAAGCCTAAGGAGCTTTGCTGCGAGCCTATGGAGCTGATCAGTATCTTAGGATATCATTTCCTTAGGATATCATTTTCTTAGGATATCAGTATCTTAGGATATCATTCGATATCTTAGGATATCATACAGTATCTTAGGATATCATTCGATATCTTAGGATATCATTCAATATCTTAGGTTATCCCCAGAAGATATGCAAGAATCACCTAGACGTTACGCTCTTAAAAGTAGACCGTACTAAATTTTGTTAAAACATTTTGAAGAAATAATTGTAAAACTGAAATCTTGTGTAAATTTTTGCCTGCAAAGCCCGCTTTTCCACCCGCGCGATCCGCCCGCCTGATTAGTGTACAAATATGTTGTGCGTTAATATATACATGCACGCAAGCGTCGCTAATGACTTAGCAACAAATAACAACGTATATAACGATTACATGTTTTTATTGCAAAATATATTACAACTGTTCCAATTCTAACTTATGTTCTTGATAAGCTTACTTATGATCTGACTCGGTCATCTTAATAGTATATATGTATGTAGAATATTTGCTAAAATAACGTTGAACAACATGTAAATATTGACCTTAACAACGACGTTGACAACTCGGGATTAGAAACTGTTTAGTTTAAAATATGTCTAAAATATATTTAAAATATGATTTTTGTGACGAATAGATTCCTTATTTGCCCTCGTTCGTTTTCGTTCATCATGAGGCAGTCATGTTGTCTTTGACTAGGATGACCGACTTGACAACCATTATATTACAGGATTCCACACAAAGTCTTTCAAGTTTTGGCTGCAAAGCGCTCCTGTCTTGTCTAAATCGCTTTCTCTCTTCCCACACGGATAACCCGCGACGCCCGCGCAATGAATATCCTAATCTACCCGTATTTATCCACACAGTAGAAAAATGCAAATCTCTGATAAAAGTTAATCCTTTAATTAGTGTCACCCTAACAACACATAGCAACCGGTGTGCTTTAATATAGCTTAAATTTATTAACCTTATCCGAGTTTTAGTACTTTAAAAAACTAGCAATAAAATATAGAAATCGCTTGAGAATTATATATCATAACCTCTAATTTCCATGTGTTTATATAACTCTAAACAGCAACATATTCTCTCGTATATAGACCTCATATGGCAGACCGGGATTTAAATATTAGTTTAATTGTAGATACATAATAACTCTTACCGCATGTTATTTCTCAGCGTTTTGACGCTTGATAATATTTATATATTACTTAACAACAAAACATATAGCTGTATACCCCGAATATATAAGTTTTAGATATATAACACTAATGCTATTTGATATAATATCAGATTTTTTACTCCTCTAGGAGCTAAATTAAAGGTCCAGAGCTGTATCATAAACGTGGAGGGACGCTAAAAAATGCGTAGTCAGCAAATTTTGTTCAATTTCGCCCGAACAGGCCCGCGTGACGTCATTACGCACCCTCACTCCTCCTCACTCCACCACACTCCTCCTCACTCCTCCTCACTCCTCCTCACTTCTCCTCACTCCTCCTCACTCCTCCTCACTCCTCCTCACTCCTCCTCAAAAATGGGGGTCGAACGGTACCTATATTACTACTCACATGTTTTTATATCCCAAAAGAGTTCTAAAATGATTTTTTATTGTATTTTTCTTATGACTACAGAAATGTGGTGGTTGTGGAACAGAAAACGGAAATGCACAAAAAAAATGTAAAAATTGTCCCATGGAGTTTACTAGAAAACGTCCTGCAATGGAAAAAGAAAGAATTGAAAAAATGGGAGAAACGAGTCCCTCATGCCAAAGAGACTTAATGATATACAGAGTGAGTACTAAAGGAATACCGAATGGTTTTCCGTGCAGGATTGCGTGATCCATGCACGAAGGATGTCACGAGACTTTCGGAAAGCGTAAAAATACTCGAGCCGCAGACGAGTGTATTTTTACGCTTTCCGAAAGTCGAGCAACATCCCAAGTGCATGGATCACACTATCCTGCTTAGAAAACCATTTGGTAATTGTTTTATAAAATAACTCAGTACAGTGAAACAGTGTCATTTTGAGAATCCCGCGAAAATCCCGCGAAGGCATTTTAATTCCTCGTGCAGGATAGCCTGAGCCTGCACGGCTATCGACCAATCAAATTGCGTGTTTCACTGTAGTTATTATATAAATGTTGTTTACTTATAACCATTTTTTAATTTCTGTAGAATTTGATGGATCAGCTGTTCGTCTAGAGTATATACAAATTATTTTTCAGTCGTAGACTGCGAGCGGTCCTTCCTTTCCGCGGGTTTAGATTTCCGGGCATGAGATTTCCGGGCACGAGAAAGGAAAGGAGGGACTGCAGACAACACATTAAGAAATGAAATCCGCGTTGCCCACACAACGCAGAATTCCCACTCGTCGAAATCGATACGCCTGTCAATCAAATCTGATATGTAGTAATTATGCCACAGAATAAGGCACACAGAAGGGCACCCTGGCCGCCATCTTCTTAGCCAGTCGATTACATTTTCTGGCCAATAAACACGCTGTATTGGCTGAAGGCCCCGCCTTCTGGCCAGTCAACTGCATATTTTTGCATAGAAAAATGGTGACACGTTGCACCGCTGAGTGGCCCTTCTGGTACTGATCTTTATTCTGTGATTATGCTATAAATAATTTCCAGAGTGAATGTTGATTTTATACAGGGTGTGTCAAAATAAAAGTAATCGAACGTCAGCGCGCTATTGTGTCTGAATTACTGCATATGAACGAGATTTTTTCATCTTCGGAAAGATCAGACTTTTAGCTGTTGAATGATATGTTCTTCATTGCCAAATGGATAAAAAATAAGCAAGTACGAGTCTGATAAAAAATGTTAGTCAGATCACATATTTTCACCGTTGTAATATGCGATTCTGACTAACATTTTTTATCGGACTCGTACTTGCTTAGTTTTTCTCCATTTGGCATGAAAACATGTCATTCAACAGCTAAAAGCCTCATCTTTTCGAATATGAAAATAAATGTTCATACGCCGAGTAATTCAGGTACAATAGCGCGCTGAAGTTCGATTACCTTTATTTATACACCCTGTAAATAAACATGACATTACGGTTTCCTATTGGATAGATTTAATTGGATATAGCAATGTTTATGCAAAGGAGGAGCCAATTTGACAAGAGCGAAAAGTGGGCGTATTTCGTTTCTTGCTGTGTTGTCTGCGGTCCCTCATTTCTTCGAGGGACCACTCACGGTCTACTTTAATTCCTCGTACAGGATAGCCTGATCCTGCATGGCTATCGACCAATCAAATTGCGTGTTTCACTGTAGTTATTATATAAATGTTGTTTACTTATAACCATTTTTTAATTTCTGTAGAATTTGATGGATCAGCTGTTCATCAAGAGTATATACAAATTATTTTTCAGTCGTTGACAAGCATAACTTTTTATTATCCAAACATTTGGTCGCGTATTTTAATCAACTGGTAAAAGCTGGTTAAATCAACTGGTAAACTGGACTAAGAAAATCTTTTAGGTTTATATAGCTACACTGAGAACAAAAAATTTTGAACAGCACAAATTTGTTCGGTTTCCACTCTTCAAATGTTTCATCATCATAAAAGTATAAAAGCAAAATTGCCTTTTCCTAATTTTATTGACATGATATGCAAAAAAATTAATACATTTTTCTTGTAGACGTCGGTCTTAAATGAACGTCATGCATGGTCAGCACATTATTGTGTTGTCATTTTCACGACATGGTAAAGGCTACACAACACATCTACATGGAACAACCGGGCCAGGTGCAAAGTTTTTAACCGAGACAGAATCAGGAAAAATAGTAGAAAAGCTATATGATAATTTTATGCGACGTAAGTAGCTAGTTATGAATATTTGTAAATTTACTTATTCATCTATGCCTTCTTGTGGTTATTCATATGTCCTAGCTGCCCTAACCTGTCTTGTCTTGAGCTATGTTAATGTATGACCTTTTTATTTTAAGGGGAATTGAAAGTAGAAGAAAAGCGTCATGGGAGTGCTGCAGCAACCACGTCAAAGACAACGGACGACCTCACCCAACCAACTACTTCTACGCACACTCATAACACAAACAATAACATTAACAACGTCAATACCAGCAACAATAACGATGATGATAACAATGCCTACAACCTCACCAAACCAACAGATACCACGCTCATAATAAATAACACAAACAATAACACTACTAACGTGAACACCAGCAACGCTAACGATGATGATAACAACGCCGACGAAGGCAACGCTAACAATGATAGCGATAGCAACTTTATTGATAATCAACATAACGAAGATATTGTAAATAATACGAATCACAATAACGATAAAGGTCACGGTATAAACACACCAAGTAACGATACGAATGTACAAATTACGATTACAACGACTACAGCAACAACATCAGACTCTGTCCAGGAACCTATTACGAAGCGCCCAAGGAGTTCAACATGTACCCAAGGCACTTCTCAAAGAGTGGTTATAGGTATATTTAGACATTGTTATACTATCTTGATCATGAGTGTTTGTTGCCAATGTACTGTAGGTCGCCAGTTAGGGGAACGACAAAACGCGGACCCCAGGTCCATGGACTACCTTCGTGGACCTGGTCCATGGACTACACTCGTGGACCACGGACCACTCCCGTGGACCACTCTCGTGGACCACTTGCAAAATTTCGCCTACCGAACAATAGACCAAACACTATTATTCCGAGTTTAGGGAGCCGAGATTGGCGGGAACTATTTCATTATTCATTTCCATTATGTATTTCACAATCAATTCAGTTTTTGTTGATGAACAGTGAATACTAAGTCTGTAAAAATGCTGAAAAAATGTAGTCAGGGTTCCATTAAAAATATAGGAATATTGTGGAGAATCTGGAGTTTAGGTGTGGTCAAAAGATTTTACTGAACTATTCGAATTTTACTGTTAAAAATCACTTGAACTGTAGAAGTCGTAAGTTGCAATGACCTTTCAATGCCTGAAGGTCCTCTTCCAAAAACATTAATTTTTGAAGCTCGATTACTGCTTTTCTTGCATTTCCTGTAGCGATCGAGAAAAAAAACTACCAATTTTAAGGGCATATATTCGGAAACTTTGCATTAAAGTCGTAATTGCACACTTATATTTTAGAACGGTCATGTTCAGAACTTCACATTTGGTGTAAAGTTTCCACAATGATAATAATGACTGAACTCGACTCGAGCACATTTTTGCATGCACAGTCAAGAATTCAAACCCCAAAAATCTGGTGTCTCGCAAGTGGTCCATGAGAGTGGTCCATGAGAGTGGTCCACGAGAGTGGTCCACGAAGGTAGTCCACGGACCAGGTCCACGAAGGTAGTCCACGGACCTGGGGTCCGCGTTTTGTCGTTTCCCAGCCAGTTAACATTACAATTGACGAGCTTGCAATGCACTTGCTTGCATATTGTTTACACAATTTCAAATAACATATGTTTTCAATATTATATTCTCATTTTGAACTTGTACTACTGTATGTTTTTGATAACCTGCGTTACAACCTACCAGACGAAGGGCTTTAAAAACCTGTTCTTAATTTTTAAAGGTTAATGTAAAGACGCTTTGTTTAATACATTTTGAACTCAGCTCTACAGTTGTAAAATATGATTAGATATATATTACTAATGATTCAGAATTTCTAACACTTTCCCGGTTCGCTATGCTTGTAAATTAATGCAGACTAGAGATTCAACTAGGAAGTTCAGAAGGTGTGAAATATTAATAACATTCCAATGGTTGCGTCCGACCTTTGGAATGCAGGCCTGCACAGAACGGACTTTACATTATATATAAGATTGTCACATCGGATATCGAATTCAACAGTTTGTATATACAGTACTCTGTGTGTCCCCGAACATTTTGTAAATTTGCATGTGTCCCGAATTTGTTTGATATAAGGTTGCGTAAAAGCTAGAAGTAATACTCGACTTCCGACTTTACCAGGATTTGAACTAACTTCTCAAACTGATCGATTATGTAATTTGCCTGAATTTCAAAGCACTAGCATATTAATTTCGTGTTTTCTAATGGATTATTGATGATTTAAAGTACAGGGTGTATAAAAAAGAAGACCTTTAGAAATTAGCCTATTGTTATACTTTCAATTCCCAAACACTATACAAACGCCGAAAAGTTTTTTCTTTTCATTTAGCTATATTTGAAATTGAGGCCACGGGCTATTTTTGAGAAAATACAGTTCAAAGTCAAGCTATTTTTACATATTTTCAAAATTTGTCAAATTTCGCGAACTTGTATTTTGAACTTCGACAGCTGAAGTTACATTAAGAAACATAGGATGGAAAATTTGAGGCATATAAAGTTAATTTCAACTTACATTTCATTCTCAAATCACGTCTTTCTTCGTTTATTACGGTTTTAAACAAGCCATAGATCGACGTATACGGTATTTACTCCCATGTTCACGTCGCCATATTAACTTCTTCCAATCACGCGATTACAAAACAATCATCCCAAAACAAAGAATTCATGATCGAATTTTAAAAGAATAACCAATATTTTGTAAATCGTTGAATGGAAAGCAAAAAATCGTCAGCTAAAACAGCTTCTTGCTAACTTTCTGCTTTGTTTTGAATGTAAATGTAATGAGCTTTGTTTCTGGCCGCAATTTTTTGGTCAGCGACGACAAATTTCCCACCTGTTACATAGGGACTTTTTATTGCAACCACATTCATAGCCTACACCCGTACCATATGGCTTGTTTCAGTTTATAGTTTCATCTTCCTCATAAAATATTAAAATTTCGGAACGCAATAATTACAAATATCATGCAAATTACCTCGACTGACACTTCACTCTGCTCATTTATTTCGCTTCGTGGCGCTGCTGTGCCTCCTCCTGTTTGACTCCGAGGTTGTACCTACAGCAAGAAGAAAATAATTATTGTTTTCTACATAAACATAGTCAATTTGAACTGTCATGCATGAAAGGCACAGCTGGACATAAGTCCTTACCGTATTCTGACATGGTTTACTATTGGTACCACAAGAGCAGTTTTATCCATACAAAACTCCGTTACCTTTACAAACACAGCCAGTTATTTTTCCATTTGCAGTGGTTTTCAGTTTGCGCATGCACTGTAATTTACATGAGCAATTCACTGCAGGTGGGGCGATCACGACTGTAAAATATCCAAATTACATTTATCAGTTTATTTATTTTATTTATTTATTTATTTAGCTTTGCCAACTAGCGCAGGGTCACCACAACAGCATATGCCAATTACTGTGGGCCCTTTTTTGCCTAACCCACCCTTCAACTTTCCCTGTGGGAGGAAACCGGAGTACCCGGGGAAAACCCACGGCTTTCGGCAGAGCGTTGACTTTTACACTTTTCACATGGGGACTGGGTTCGAGTCGCACTGAGAAGGTACTTAGTGAGACTCGAACCTGCAGCCTCAGAGGTGGAAGGCGGGTGCGCTAACCACTTGTCTATTTTTGCCAAATTATTTTCAGATATATATACGAAAAAGCAGTCATTTACCTCATTAGATTCATCTGACTCTTCACGTGATGAATCCATCGCCATCTCGCTTTCTTCGCTTTGGAAAAGCGACGACCCATAATAGTTTACAGACGCATTCTGTTCGCTTTCCACCATATTCAACATGCAGAACTATAGTATTTACATATTTGCGTGAAATATGAGCCATCTGTCATTGATCATCAATCAACAGCGGTATTTTAAAGTCACGTGGGGTGGTTTATTCTGCCTTTAATTACAGTATTTCAATTGAAATCTGATTTGTGAATTATTTGTCCTCCTGCACTTCATAGTTGCTCAAGTTTTGCCTTACCCAAGTGTAGTCGTTTCTTTGGGTTTTTTTTTGTCTTGAAATTATAATAAAAATTCGTGGTCTATAGATGCAAGAATGGGCAACCAACTCGATTACCTCTCAACAGTTATTGTTGGGGTCAAGTCACCTTTAATTTATGAATCTTATATATGTGCTTATTATTTATGTGCATATCTACTATTTACCATAATTACTTTGACATTGTACTGTAAATAATTGTGTGACTAATTTATTGTAGCAATTACAATATAGCAATATAATCCCAAAAATTGCATTAGCACTTTAAAACTCGTCTTTCTCTGTATAGGGTGACAGTTATCCACAATGGAAGGAAATTCTATTACTGGATATTCATTCTACTTCTCTTACTGTTACTACCGTTGCTACTTGGCATTCCAATGTTAATACACCGTGGTTTACATGGCGAATATGGCTTCGATGTTTATGACTTCAGTCTCCTTACTATTGGTATAATTCCTTATATTTGCGTCTTTCTGTTGAGAGGAAGTCATTTCAGTCTACCTGTTGGGTTTGCGTATTTTAGCAACAGTTTTGGCAACCTGGATAGTTTTATATTATCTCTCTAATTTTACATTGGAGTAGTTAGCAAGGGAAAAAGTATTTTGCTATGTACGGGACTTTTGTAATGTAATTTTCCTGAGAGAATTTGTTACATGAACCATAAAGGGATCCACCAACGCCTCAGCAGCATAAGGTCTATCATCAATGTTATGACTGATCAACCATGAAATAAATTTCCGAACTTGAAGATCGTGAAGCATGTCCATGTTAACAGGATTTCCTTTCGAGATGTTTGTCATTCGTTCAAGCACAGGACCAAAAGGATGTTCACCTTTGGTTGAAATGAAGAAAGCGATCATACCTGCGACCTGAACGTCGGATTTTTTTTTAAAACGTCCTATCTCTTTTTTAGCTATTGCTTCAATTACTTCGGTGGGCATCCAGTCTCGGGTTCCCTTCGCACCAGTATAAACTGTGGTTTCTTCTTCATTCAAAACACGACTTATTCCGAAGTCTGCCAATCTCATGTGACCTTCGAGATCAACCAAGACATTTGATGGTTTGAGATCTCTGTGCAAAATTTTTAGACTGTGAAGAAATTCAATTCCGCTTAAGATTTCTTTAATCATTCTTGGACCATGATCTTGCAGATATTCCAATCTTTGAGTACGAACGTGTTCTTTCAATGTTTCTTCGCAGAGATCTAAAACTATATGTACAAAAGTAGCGTCTTCTAAACATTTTTGATAGCTGACTATAAATGGTGACTTGCTTGCATCAATTCGACTCAGAATTTCTAGCTCATTTTTAGTTGTGTCTTCAAACTCGTGTTTTAAGATCCTCTTCACAGCAACTTCAGCACCATCTTCCAAGATACCAACATAAACAATACCCATTGAACCTTTCCCAAGTATCAAAGACTTCTGTGGTGAAAAATACTTCACCAGTGGTCCAATCTATGGTAGAAAAAAAGAATTTTTTATCACTATGACTGACGAATAAAATAGTTCTACATCGAGTATGGTTTTGAATTCAGAATTATTTCCGCTAGAGCATGAAAAGATACAGAATTATGTAACCAAGTTAAGAAATTTCTCAACTGTTCCTTGAAAGAAGTAATGTTGATTGATTTGAAGCCATTGATTTGAAAATTAATACTTGAAGTTACTAACGCAAGGAAATGCTGCCTCGCGGCCAAAACTTTGGGTTAGGTTGTTCAAAATCTGTTTATAATCCGTGGATAATTCAAAACTAAACAACACTATAATGAAAAGATAACACTATTATAGTTTTTAAACAATAACAATCGTATTTTATTGAATTTTAAGAATCGCGTGCATATATGTTACAACAATATTCTAATTATCTAAAATTAAGAAAACAGTTCTCTGCAATGAAATAGGTCATTTTCTGAGCACTCCAAACAATAGTAGCTAATAAAAATTAAGAAATCATGGGTCATTCCACGGCTTATTTCTCCGACAATATATGTATAATGTGACCCGCAAGGCTACCTCCACACATTTTAATAGCTCTTATGCGATTGTCACTAAGTTAATGTCACTAATATTCTTAGGTCACCTCTAGAGTAATAACCTGGAATGACTCACAGTTAATAACACTATTAATAATGAATAAATATAATGCACAAGACCCAAGGACTGTTTATACTATTAACAATGAAAATATAACATTATTATTTATACCATAACAACACTATTATACAGGGTGTCCCCAAAAGCCCGAAAAACCATTGAAATAACGTATTGTTAAAATTTGAATGTCCTAGCACTAAGCCGAACGCAAAGTGCCAAAGATGCGTAAAGTATTAACAAGGGTGCATATATTAAATATTGACTTATTAAGAAATTAAAATATCTTTGTAAAGCACACGATTTTCTGCTCTTGGGTATTTAAAACAGCTTCTTAAACGGGTTTTTTATGCATAAAATTTACTTGCGTCAAGCTTTGATACGTATGGGTTCAGTAGAGTGCTGAAGCATTCAAATTCTCACAATACATTTATTTCAATAGTTTGAGCTTTTTGGGACACCTGTACAGGGTGTATAAAAAAAAGTAATCGAACTTCAGCGCGCCATTATACGTGCATGAATTACTTGGCGTATGAACAATTGGTTTTCATATTCGGAAAGATCAGGCTTTTAGCTATTGAATGACATGCTTTTCATGACAAGTGGAGAAAAAATAAGCATGTACGAGACCGATTAAAAATGTTAGTCAAAATCGCATATTTTCACCTCTGTGCCTAATTAAAACAATGCATAACAAAAGAAAAAGCAATTAATCACGAACGTGTCGTAGCTTAGCTAAGATTCATTCCGACTTAATAATAATTATGAATATGTGTGCAGTTTAATGAAGTGAAATTCATCAACTTAAGAGGCAGTCTCTGTAAGAACCTCATGACCTCTTTTGATCAAGAAATAGATTTCTCTCAAACTTCGTACTCGAGATTGCTTTTATAAGGATTGTCTCAAAATGCATTTTGTTTTCAGTCTAATTGCATTTTGGCAAAGTTCCAGGGGGGTAAAGTTGAGGGATAAAATTATGATTTATTCTGTTTCTCAATAGTGGATTTTTACT